TACCCCTGCCCCTCCCGTTTTTTTTTTTTTTTTTTTTTCCTAACTCACTTCTTTCCCACGTTCCTTCCGCTGCAAAAGTTTTTCGTATGCACACAGTTACACCGTGTGCACGCAAGACTTTCCACAGTCTTGGGCCTCGCGCGTGTGTGTATACAGGGAAAATTGATATTTCGGCCTCTCGAGAGGGGAAGAAAAAACAGGGGAGGGGGAGATTGATAGTCGTGAAACTGCGGGTAGATTGAAGTTTCACTGCATACGTACATTACATAACGTGCATGCGTGAGTATCGGAAAATATTGTGCTCGTTGAACGATGCTTTACACGCGTGTATCATACACGAAATGATGTCGTTTGTAAAAACGAGAAAACCATGTTTTTGAGCGGACGGACTTAAGGTTAAAATTTTTTTTGTTGTTTTTTTTTTTTTAGACAAATCCTCGGGTGTGAGTAAAAATAAAAATGCCGGAAGCAGATGATATCGCGCTCGACGAACTCGAACCTCGGGCATTGGCGTTGTTGGGCACCCGAGTACAACTTGAATTTCACGCAAAAATGGTCCCTCCTGAAAATTTACATCAAACAACCTCTCCAGCGTGTACCGGGGGACTCATGTGAAAAAAAAAGGCAGGGGGGAATAAAAAAATGTAAATTAAAATATTTCTTTCTTGTCATTGCAGTGCGATTAACCAGAGAGACGACGAGACAACGAAAGCAGCGGAGCAGAGCACGCACGCACACGCCGTCGAACCGAAAGCGGACTCGGGCGTCCGTTACTCGTCGATGCGGGACGGCAGATAAGCTGCGGGGAAAAAAACACAATTTTTTTTTTTTTCCACTCTACCCATACACAGACACACAGACATGTGAGGTGCGCTCGAAGGGTTGAAAAAGTTCGGTGGGAAAAAGTGCACTGCAGAGGCAAAGGGACCAAACGAAGAAGAAGAAAAAAAAATGTACATAATATAAGGAACCGGGTGGTGGTGGTGCGTATTGTACACGCGCGCGATATCTCCACCTCCGCTGGGTGTATGGAACAAGGAGACGGTGATGAAGAGGAGGGCATGTATACGGATGACAATGGCCAAAAAACGCGATGTTACTGCGCGTACGTAACGGTACCACCTGTGCATACACATTTGTAAGTGGAGGTGAAGTAATGTACTTGTTTCAATTCCGTACTTGTACTTGCGTCATTTTTTGGTTGCTTGTTCGTTTGTACGTGTATACCACGCATATGTGCCTTAAACAGTCATCGAAAGATAACAAAATAATGCGGCTTTATTCGAGTTTAATGGATATTTTTTACTGCTGTACTTTAAGGATGTGTATTATCATCGCGTGTACGTGTATTATTGGGATATTTAATTTTTTTTCCTTTATTTACAGTGTAAGGTGATACCGATGCCATGAGTTGCGTGTAACATTTTTTCGTTCCGGTACTTGAAAACCTACGTTGTACGAAAGTGTACTTATATTTGCCATATTACGTTTCTCCCTGTCGGAGAGTTTGTACTGTGTACTTATGATGTAAGTACTCGTTGGAACAAAAGGAGTGATCAGTGCTCGTTCCTTTTGTTTCAACAACAAAAAAAAATATATAAATAAATGAAAATAGCTTCCAATCAAAAAAGTGTATGTTCCGATGGAAAATATTATACTCTACAAGTGCCTTTTGCTGTACTCGTACAAGTGTGACAACTTTTCTTTGTAGCTACGACAAAATGTTACTTAAATTGTAGAAACAAAGAAAACAAATTTTTTTTTCACTCCAACAATCGGAAGATTATTTATTAGGTATACTCTCTAATCATTACGTTGTAATTAAAATTGTACATAAATCAATGATTATTCGGAAACAAAGAATAATTTAAGGACATTCTTAAAAAAATTCCAAGCGCGAGTCACATTCGAAGAGGACATTGTATCATATAAGCTATTGAATTTATTCTTTTCGAATTGACTCGATTATTTTCTTAAAGACTTTTTTGACTAGTATATTTTATACACGATTCTAAGATGCCAGTCAACCTAAAACTGCAACATCCAAATGCAGATGTGTCAAAATATAATAATTAAGGAACAACAAGAGACACGCACAATATTTTTACCGTCTGAATCGAGAGTGTGTAGGTATTTTTTATGCATTTACTGACATTTTTTATACGAGATTTTATACACATTTATGTATGAAGAAAAAAAAAATGTTTATTAAGTGATAAGCGCTTTCCAATGATTTTCTCATGATAGTCTAAGTCTGTACTATATTACAGTGCCTTCGAGGAATCGACGACAATCAACTTTTTGTAGCATATTAATATTTTGACATTCTATATTTTATATACGTGAAATATATTTAAAATCAATTTATAATCATTTCAGAGGTATACTTTCATTTTCGAAATCCTACCACAAAAGTAACCCTTTTTCACCACCTTTGACCACAAAAATTTATTAGACAATTTCAAAAGCAATAAAAATTGATCAACACAGTACAGCACGACACAAGGAAACAAATTAACATACATTTCCATCCAAATGGACAAGGAGCAGTATCATTACCTCCAATCGATCCAACGACACCTCATTTGCATCGTTCGAAATTCGTAATTTCGCAGCATTTATTATGTCCGCGAGAAGAGAATAGGGACGAAAAAAAAAAAAAAAACAAATAAATAAATAAATAAGCGAGCACCAACCAACCCCCCCATGACCGGTAGTAATTTGAAATTCATGGCTAGCTGCACACAGCAAGGACAGGTGAGCTAATGTTCGCTCTTATCCGTCACGTGTAGCGATCAAAATTGATCATACAACATTGGGAGCTATACCAAAAGGGGCGAAGGTAATTTTTTTTCTCTTCCACCCCATACGAGGACGAAGGGGCTCTCGATTTCCGGCGATGATTTCTCCGGAGCTACCCCACCACTACTACTACCCGCGCCTGCGTCACTTCCGGCGTTTCCTTCTCCCACGCGTGGATTGCCTTAATTTACAAACGCAACTTCTACTACCACCTCAGGGGTTTTTTTTTCTCCCTCGCTAACGGACTAATTGGATGACCGGGATAATCGCTCGTGCTAACGTGTTTTCGGCCGTTACGGGGTAGTCCAGGGGGGTGATTTCAGTCACTCGAACGTGAGTGTGGTAATATGCGTGTAGCTATACATTGTCGTTGTAATCGTTGTTTGAGTGACGCTTCGCGTCGAGTTCGATGTTTTGTTATCGAAAGAGGAAATCTCTTGGGCTTTTTAATCAATGATTTTGCATTTTTTTTTTTTTCCTCGAGTGATTAAGGTAAGTTGCAAATAAATATTGAATGTAGAACTTTTGTTAATTGGCTGGGCAATGACTATACGTAAAATTCGAGGAGTTTCGACGATGCGTTGAAAATTTATTATTTTCCTTCGTCTGAAGACATTTTATTTTTATGCCGTTTACTGTATATACTGTGTATATAATGTAGATGACGCATTGTGGGTGAGTCGATTGTGGAGACGGTACTTATTTGGGGAACCGAAATTGTGGAAAACTTTTAATCGCATATTTGATAATGATGTATATGGATCGAGCTCGAGGTTATTCAGCACCGATTAAAAATTAGCAGTTTACAGTTTAGATTTTTTTTATTATAAATTTTTTTTTCATAACGTCTCATTAAAATCTCATTTGACGTGAGTAACTGCCGTTGGCCTTTTATGATAATGATTTTGGTTTAAGGTCATGGCGATAAGCGATAAAAACATTCGTACGAAATTCCTTCAGTAAAATGTTATTAATGAAGAAGTTTGGTTATTTTTATAAACAAATGTTACGAATGTTTATAAATTACAATAACAAGATATTGCAATTGATTCACAATGTATTAAATACGTCCAAGTTGAATAACGTAATTATGAACATAAATGAGTGGGTTGTTGTAACAAATTACTGTCACAATTTTTATTGGCTTAAATTTTGAAAATTTATTTCATATGTGTTCGATATCAAGAAAAAGCTTCCGAATTCGGGTTCGTTTGAATTTTCGCTAAAAATACTCTTGATTAGATCTCAATTCATTTAACATACAAATGTCATGGTCAATGCCTCTAATTTGTATGTGACTTGATTAAGTTGACATCGTAATGTTTTGATGTTTTGTTGTTTACAGCTACAGCTGACACAAAAACAAACAAAAATTAAACGAGTTTTTTTAAATAAAAAAAAATAATAAACAAATTTGAGATTAGTTTATTTTTATTTAAAATATTTTTGAACTTACTTTAAGTATTAAAAACAAACAAAACATTGAATGGAGTAGAATGATTATTTATTCAATGTTTTATGTAAAAAGATTTGCGTCAAATGTTTTATTAAGGTTGATCTCTAGAAGAAAGTATATTATATTTATTAAAAAATTTATCATCGATTAAGTAACTCTATTAATGAATGATGATAAAAAAATTATTATAATAATAAATAACCCTATATTTCACATTGAATAACTGATAAATAAATGTATTACAAAAATGCAAAAAAGAAAACTTATCAGAAACACTAAAAGGATAGAAAATGAACATAACAAATACCCAGAAATCGTATAAAAAAAACAATTTTAATTAAATTAACTTGTGGATTATATAAATTTTTCTCCCTCTTTCAATGAGTTATCCGAACACTATCAACAGGAAGCTTTAATCACGATACAGGCAGGGAGCAAAAGATTCCAAGCGTCCGAGCTTTTTCCAGTAGAATCGAAAAAGGCTTGAAGCCATGTAAGTATACTGGCACAGCGAAAAAAAAACTTCCCATCCGACGAGTGCATCATTTCCGTCGGGAAACGTTTGCATCGTTCGTTTGATCGTTTGTGAATTGATTACCGATGCAAAACAACCACAGCCGCCGTCCGTAGCTGACGTAAGGTCATTGCATAAATGTACCTGAAACATGGAATTTTTTTTTGTCGAATCTCCACCCGCTATAAAACTCCCCATCCGTTCGATCGGACGCGCAATACCGTAGTGGTCGATGACTCGACTGCAGTAGAACTACGTATTTACTTTTTTTTCTCGACAAGTGTGGCATTGGTCAAAGTTGCATAGTGCATCAATTTTTGTGTGACTCTTGCATCTTTAGTGTGTATACAGTTATATTCGGGTGGATTTTTACTTTTTTTTGGAAACCTGTTGTCTGGGTATGAGCTGTCAATAAACCTATTGTGTCATGTCCTAATATTCAAGTAATCGTCTATTTGTGTTCATAAATATGATAACTGTGATCTTAGTGATTCTTGTCTGAATAATTTAGGTGGTTGTATATGAGAAGATCTAAAATAATTAATAACGTATAATATTAAATTTCAATAATCAAAAAAATCTTACGATTCATAAAGAGGGATACTTTATGCGTTTAAAAAACTTAATTACCATCAATTACATCGTATTGGCAATGTTTTATCCATTTCAGCTTTAGGTATAAAATGCCACTAAATATCCCTTTTATAATGTATGTATCTGTGATATTATTTCAATCAATGGATAAATATTTTGGTTATTTTGTTATTTAAAATTAAATCTTTTTAATAGAGCGTTCTAAAGAGGGTTAGTCCAGCCATCAAATTTACAAGTAAATTTTAGTAAAAAAAATTTTCATTCAACATTACAATTTTGGTTGAATCCCAGAAACCATATAATATTACACAATCAAATATTATTGTCTAGTAACAAAATTACAGTAAAATAGTAATTAAAACCGAGTTCGTATATTCTCTTTTGTTTTGGTCAGTACTAGGTACACATTTCAACAGAAATGCTCATCTTGTATTTTTTAAACTTATTTGTTCATCTTTGTCACGTAGTTGATCAGAAACTATGATATCCTTCCCTGTGAAATTTAAATAAACATTACTTAAATTAACTCATGAAAATGTTTAAAAAAACTTCCGAGCCAATAATAATATTTTTTCACTCATTTACTTTTCATTTAAAATTTTAACACTACGAGATGTCATTCAAGTCTTAAAAGAGGTAAAAAATGAGACAAGAACTCAACGTATATTAAACCCCCTAGAAATAGGCTCAGTAATTGATTGCGAGTACCAATCGAAGACCCGAAACAGTCAAGATGGACGCGGTACCGATGACTACGTCTTACTTGCCAATGGCCATCTTCTGGCCCCTCGTTTTAATCGCCGCAGCACTAGCAGCTACCTACTATTACATCGAAACTTCTCGTATTGTCAAATACGGCAACAAACTACCAGGTAACTTTTTCTCACTGAATCTTTTTTTCTCCCTCCAATTTTCTTCCCCTTTACTCAAACGTCTAATCGTGCATTTCTACGCTCGAGGACCGAAAACTGTTCCCTTCTTTGGAAACGCCCTACTGGCCCTCGGCGTCCAGCCCAAGGATGCTCTCAATGAGGCTCTCAAACACGACATATACGGCAACGTGACCAGAGCCTTCATCGGCCCCAAACTGATCGTTTTCCTCATCGATCCACGCGACGTCGAAATCATCCTCAGTAGCCAAGTTCATATCGACAAATCCCCGGAGTACAGGTAAAATTTCGTCGAGCAAAAAAATTACCTCGAAGAAAGAAAGATAAAAAAATCTACGGTAACAGATTTTTCGCCCCGTGGCTGGGGCAGGGTCTACTGATAAGTACCGGCGAGAAGTGGCGCAACCACCGCAAGATCATAGCCCCGACCTTCCACCTGAACGTATTGAAATCGTTCGTGCCCCTTTTCTACGAGAATGGCCTCGAGCTCGTCGACAGACTCAAGAGCGAGATCGGCAAGGAGTTTGACTGCCACGACTACATGTCCCGGACGACGGTGGACATTTTGCTCGAGACGGCGATGGGCATTTCGGGGACGCAGAAGGAAAAGAGCAGCTTCGACTACGCGATGGCTGTTATGAAGTAAGCGCGATGATATTATGTATTTATAAACTCGCCGGTGCCATCGAGCGTTGGGAAAAAGTATCGGTAATTTATGCGCTGCATTGACGTCGAACTAATTAATCAAGGCAAAAGGGTAGTCTTTGTTGTTTCTCATTCGAATTCGATTATACGCTTGTTCGAGCGCATCGTTTCCCATTAACGATTCATCGGCCCCAATTTATCACATCGACCTGCTGTAATGTTTTAGGATGTGCAACATCATACATCAGAGACAGTACAACTTCCTGCTGCGGATGGACGCCTTCTTCCAGTTCACCTCCTACGCGAAGCAGCAGCAAAAGTTCCTTGACATCATTCACGGGCTGACGTCGCGGGTCATCACGAAGCGCAAGGCCGATTTCGAGGATGGCAAGGTCGACTCGCCGATGATGGCTTCGATCATGGAGGGCATCAAGAAGGATTCGGCCACCAATGGCAGAGTCAAGCCCGAGCAGACGCTCAAGTACGTCAGGGATGATCTCGATGATATCGACGAGAATGACGTAGGTGAGAAACGAAAACGAGTGGATGCTTGGGTTGTTTGATTCTGCAAATTAGACGGTAATGGAAAATTTTGGTCGCAGGGGAGAAAAGGAGACTTGCCTTTTTGGATCTAATGTTGGAGTTGAGGAAAAATGGGGAAAAAATGACGGACGAGGAGATCAAGGAAGAAGTCGATACCATCATGTTTGAGGTTACCTTCGCCGATGAATATTAGCAGTTACCTTGCATAATGAAAAATATTTAAAAAGCAGTTTTCTTTACGATACAGGGACACGATACCACTGCGGCTGGCTCGAGCTTTGTACTCTGCGTTTTGGGTATCCACCAAGACGTCCAGGTATGGCTTTAATCTTCAGCTCTTGGTTTCCGACCTTAAGGTTTTCATGAAAGCTATGAGATCTTTTCGATCCTGGGTCCTTTCAACCCCAGGAAATGTCATGTCTGTGTTGGGCATGAATTTTTTCGGATTCGCCAGAAATGCATCCATCGTACGGTCGTCCCATTTGACTTTGGCAGCTTTTAAAAAACTATCAAATTCCATACCAGCTGAGGCTACGGTGAAAAACTATCATTTGATCATTGAAATTTAAACTTAAAATGATCAATGCTCAGAGTAACCAAGAAAACGCACCTGATTTACATCCACAAGTCCTACCGAAAATACCATACAAATTAGGACCAATTCCGTTCTTTCCTCCTCTTTGGTAAGTGTGGCATTGCGCACACATTTTCATGAAAAGTTTTTTCCCATTTTCTGCACTTCCCATCCTTGTTAGAAGAACCACTCATTCAGTTACAAACACTATATCATAATAACTTAATCTGTACATTTCAATGGGATTTGATGGTTAACTCAAAGCTGATAAAAAATGTCACTGAGGTTTTCCAGCCGCTTTTAACTTTTGACCGATTTTTCCATAATAGGTAAAAGTTATACGGTTCAGGAGGTTAGGGTATACTGAACCGAATGTATCCAAAATTATTGTTTTTTATAGGCCCGCGTCATGGAAGAGCTGAATGATATTTTCAAAGGCTCCGACAGGCCTTGCACTTTCCAGGATACTTTGGAAATGAAGTACCTCGAGAGAGTTATTTTGGAAACTCTGCGGCTTTTTCCGCCTGTGCCAGCTATTGCTCGACAACTCAATCAAGACGTCAAATTAGGTTAACGTCAACTTTTTTTCCTTTCATTTAAAATCCCAAAGAAAAAAAATGTGAAATAAGAAAAAAAAATTGTAAATTCTTTTCCAGTTTCTGGTGATTATCTCTTACCAGAAGGTTGCACTGTAGTCATCCCGCAGTACAAAATTCATCGTAACAAGGATCACTACCAAAATCCCGAGGTGTTTGACCCCGATAATTTCCTGCCTGAAAATACTCAAGACAGACATTACTATGCTTACTTGCCGTTCAGTGCTGGGCCAAGGTTTGCCGATACAATTCGTCCTACAAAAATTTCACGTATACAAATAAAACTCTGAATTTTTAGGTCTTGCGTCGGTCGCAAGTATGCTATGCTCAAGCTAAAGGTCCTTTTATCGACGATCCTGAGACATTACAAGATCACCTCTGACCTCACCGAGCAGGACTTTAAACTTCAGGTGGACATCATATTGAAGAGGTCAGATGGCTTTATGATAAAAATCGAGCCACGAAACCAGACAGTTGTCACGTAGTTGTCTGACGCTTTACTCGTACTACCTATTTGTACATTTTTGTCGTTGTAATTTTAATTTAAACGCGATCCTGTATAGTTACTAAGTTTGGTTGTTCAACTGGACAGCCACTAGATGTAAGAGTCATTTTGTACGGGTGATAGGATTACAGAAAAAAAAAAAACTTTTATTAGCTAAGTTCACTCCATTTTTTGTAACTTTGTAATGCACGTTTACACTTTTGTTATACAACACTGAGAAAGGAAAGAAAGAAACTCGTTCGTCATTGACGCAATCGAGTCATTTCTATTCAAAGATTGACATTGTTAAAGACGAGTCGCCGAAAGGCGAATTATTCATTGCGTCACGTTAACTCACATATTGTACAATCGACTTTGCAAACAATGAATATTAAAAACAAAACAAAAAATTGAATGAAAAAATGAATACCATACACACAATTGTTTTGCCTCTGAATGTTTTTTTTTTTTATTTATTTTTTTTTTTTATTATAAGTTTATCGATATAACTGCCAATAATAAATAAATTACATTATATGTACCGTGAGACTAAAAAGTTTCTAAAAATGTACAGTTTAACGCTTAACCTAAGGAAATATAACATGTAGCAATAAGTAGGTGTATTAGTCTAATTAAACATTGAGAATCATAAGTCGTTGAGTCGTTTGTGGATTAAACTACACAACGGTAACAATCATCACTTAGCATCATTACTTGCATGTTTTGCCCCACTTTCAGTTTTTACTTGCACTTTTTTTTCTTTTTTTCTTTTCTTTTTTTTTTTTTAGAAAACACTGTGATACAAACTTGCTGATTCACACTTGTGCTTCACTCCGCGTTTTCTTCTTGCTGTAAATTATTTCCACTGCCCAAGGCACGATAAACACAGTGTTCATTATAACAAGTACGATTTGGCACACAGTGAAACTGTCAGTCCAGTCTTTCACGAGACCTACATGAGCAGCAACGAATTTTTTTTTTATTACAATTTTTTAATCACAACTAACTTCATTAAAAAGAATATTATGGAAAAAAAAAAGTAATGATTATTATTGGATTAGTTAATACTTTTGATAAAAAATTTTCAAGGACATTATAAACCTGCAACTATTGAGAGTTTTCCTTGAATTTTTTGATCAAATGATATTTCAGGAGATGATAAAAATAATCATTTATAGACAAGTCTGATAATCAACTATTAGTGAAACTAGTATGTTAAAAAAAGTATTCTGTTATATACAATTACCAATGATTATTTCTATCAACTGATTTAATACAGTAAGTAATTGAGAATATTTTCCAAAATCATACCACAAGATTAAGCTCATAAGGATGAACAAAAAGTATAATCAAATTAGAGTCCGGATATTTTCAATTTAATGTCAGTGAAAAGGCTTTCGAAAATAACTATAAAAAGTTTTTTTAATGTGCTCTGTTTCTGAACGAATTCATTAGCCCTCATTTAACAATTACTCGTAAAGTACAAGCTGTTTAAAATCTTTTATATTTACTTTTTGTATTTTTTATTACTTATTTATATTTTATTTTTTTTGTTGTACTTATTTTTACCTTCATAAACTTAATCTCGTTTTATCATTTTTCAAAAACACTTTTATTACCAGACTTGGGTATAATTATTATATGGATTATTAAACACTATAAAAGAAATATTTACAATTAATACTTTTTTCTGGAAAATACGTGCAACATATTTTAAACATTAAAATTTAGTGTACAGTATTGGAAACAAAATATTTAAATACTCTCTCCAATACTTTTACTCTTTTTTGCTTCTAAATTATTTTTACCAACAAATTCTAATGCATTGTATTTGTTGAAAAAATGTTGTAAATATTCTTAACAAAATATTAAACATCCAAAAAATTGCAAACGTATATTATCCATGCCCAAGTCTAATATAAATTAATAAGCAGAGAAAAATATTTTTAAAAAAGAA